GTAGACACACCTAAGACACCTTCCCCGTACACACTGCATATGTCCCGAACGGTTTCGGCTGCTTTTTTGACCTCGACGAGAAGCAAAGAAAAGCAGATTTCGAAAATGCTAACTTTTTCTTCCTGGATATTCCATTTCTGAGCCCGAAAAAAGACGAACAATTTAATTATCCTAAAAACGAATAAAACAGTTTTGTAGAGGAGAAAGAGCTCTTTCAAATGAATGTATACAGTTTGCTAGAAAACAAAATAAGTCGTTGTAAAATAACTCTAACGCAAAACTCTACGAACTTATGTTACAACCCAATATATTTTTAGTGCGTTTTTTCTACTTTTTGTGGTTGTGTTGGAGAATGTTTGAGCTCAGTCTCTGTACGTTACGGTAAATAATCGTCAATTCGATGAACTAGGTAGGATGAAAATGATGAATATTGTTTTTCTAGCAGTGATCAATCCTTTTTCCGTAATGCCCTAACGCATTTGTCTTCCATCCGGAATCTTAGTGGTGCTTGAATGATGTTTTTGACTTGAACAGTGGCTTGCGTGGGCTTGCCAATGTACAAATCAATGTTTCCTCACAGGCTAGTTTGGCAAAATTTAATGGACGGTGGAAGAATGGAAGGCTTGGTAGGCCACGGCAGTTGTTAATTGAAGATTCGATCCCCCGGCCCACACGTGGTCGTACCATTTGATTCTGGCCCCAGTCATATGAGTGAGTGAGCTAATATCAATATCAACGTCGGAAGCATGTTCCTGTACTGGGTTTCTAACTAACAGGGCATCAAGGGCTTCCTAGATTACCACTATCGTCAAGCCCTTTGACTGCCAGCCCTTCCCCAACTCCATCTCCTTCCCCACTCTTCAGGTACATACTGCGCCACTGCTTTTTTCGTATGGTTGGCTTAATATAATGATGGCTATGGACAACCGTCACACTCGCGAATCGATGATTTCTTCGCGTTTCACCCAGACACGGCTGTTGAGCAGAATTTTAAATTTTAATTTCAGATTTCACGATGTGTATGAGCTTTATATTCATTAGTGACAATCCAGATTCGAAGTACAAGCTCATTATACTGAATAATCGAGACGAATCAGTAGACAGACCAACGCTGGAATTGGATTGGCGAAATGGCGTCTTAAGTGGTGAGCTAAATAACCTTCCAGTACAATGTGGTCCCCGCTGATTTACCACCTTCGCCTGTCATCATTCCCATTATCTTCCATTATCGACCGCCTATGAGGGCATGTCTGCTTACATCTGCTCTTTCCAATACTTGGGTGCTCTTCACCTGAAACTCGCATTTTCTCTGTGGTGAAGCTCAGATCTAAACTGTACAATTTCCTCTTGCCTAGGATCTACCGTGAATTTGGGATAATTACTGTTGGTTAGGATTAACTGATGTACCAAAGTTTGTTGGAAACTGCGCAATGCTGGTCATTCCGCCATGCATTTGTACTCCATGAAAAATCGCCAAGTAGGCCGAATCGATTGTTTTGCGCTCTAGTTTATTGAAAAAGTCGATATCGCTGTGATAGGTGTGGACCATGTTTTCAGAAAATTTAGAATTTTTGCTGAAAAACTACTTCAATGTAAATTGTATCTCATTTTAGGGATTGATATCCAAGATCCCGTGAGGGGCACATGGTTTGGAACGAATATGGTAGGAAGCGTTGGAATTTTACTCTCAATTACACAGTCACCATCCGCAAAAAAGCTTCAGCATGGCCGTAGTCGAGGTGATTTTCATATTTAGCAGTGGAATTTTCCTGGATGTGATTATTATGCATGTTTTGCTTTCAGGTGGAATCGCTAAAGAGTTTCTGGAGTCTGGGCGTTCCTGTGAAGACTTTTTCCCTGAATTGAGTAGCAAAGCTGATCTCTTCAATGGATTCCAGTTTTTAGGTTTACAAAGGTGAGCTTAGTTCTAGGCACTCGAAAGCTGGGGAAGAACAAAATTTTGGAGGACACTAGTTTACGGTAATTATTACAGGAATAAAGAAAACATCTACGAGATGACATCTTTGACAAACATGCTTGTCGACAAAGTGGAACCACGAAAATGGCCGGCAGGTATGTGTGCAGGAGGTGTCTTAGAAGAATGAACCCTCTGCACGTCACTTTTTGACAACTTGGCCGTTTATTCAATATTACTTTTTTCAGGGATATATGTTTGGGGTAATAGCCCTCCCGATAAACCATTCCGAAAAGTCGTCGAAGGGCGGAAAATTTTCGAGAAATATATCGCTTCGTTAAGTCCTGACACCAGCGTGAGTGATCTGATCACTGGACTGATGAAAATCGCTACGGACGAGACAGAGTGAGTGGAACAATTCCTCTGAAGCTAGTTCATCCCTTTTTGTCATGCCATACACATAGGACTCTCATTTGTTGCTCCTACTCTGATCAGTTACAAGTTTCTGTAATGTACATCCAGAGTGCTGTAACTTTAAGGCTAAGCAGGTGTTAAGGTCCTTCGTAGGTCAGTCCATGTTGAATCAGGGTTTTTTCCCAGAAAGGTTTTCTGTAACTTAGTTCGCTGCTCCCAAATACGCAAAGCTCGGTTGGCTTCCTAAAAGAAAGCAGCACTTGTTCTATGATATATTTTTATATTGACTTTTGGGGTGATGGTGGTGCCTGGGATCGAATTTCAAATTGACGCCCGCACAGCTCCCGGGCAACCTTTCCATCCACCCCCCCCCCCNGGGGGGGGGGAGGTGAATACCTGGTGTCTTTTTAGAGGATAAGCCCTGTTTCGGACATTGGATTGCAATCGCAATTCTTTGTGTAGTCCACATACGCATTCAAAGCGCCACTACTATTCGACATAGAAGTCTTGATCAACGCTTAAGACTATACACTGTCTTTTTATTATCTCTGTGTTTTTATTATCTTTTTATTTTGTTTTTATCAATTTCTATTTATGGCGACTTTTGTAATTTCAAAGTGATTTTTTATGATTTTGTTTCCTTCGGGTATTCATTTAAAAAGATTTCTTTTGAGTCGAAGTAAAGTTTCAAAATGAACACTATCACACTAGGCTTGGATTCAATTGAATGAAGGTTTTTGAGCTTTGTCACATTTTAGTAAGCTAAAAAAATGTGGTATCGATTGTTCAGATACTGCCCTGATCCACAGCTTGCGCTACAAACTGAGCGGCCGTTGGAAATGTATCGACACTACTGCTCAATAATGGTGAAGTTCCCGCTGGATATGCTCCGCTTTGGCACAAGATCTCATAGTATTTTCATCGTGGATCGTAACAATAACGCTACTTTTTATGAGAATCGTATGGCTTCACCTCCACAAATCGGGAAACCTACCGAGTGGGTCGACAAAACCATTACCTATAAGTTAGAGCCCATCGGTGCTGAACAGCATCGGTGAATTTTTACTGTTCTATCCGATTACTTTCTTTTATAACTAATTTTATTCATTTCGAGCGCTGTATCAAAGGCCTTTTAAGGTCTCGAGTGTATTCGATTTTGCTTTAACTTTACGTGCCATTTCATATCTTTCTTGTAACAAGAGAGGCCACAAATTTCTGTTTTTCCTTTTCTAGTCACTTTAGTGTTCCATATTCTACTCATTTCACATTTGTTTATATTCCTGAAGTTTTATTTGCCATGGCTCTTACGTTGACATCCTGAAACAAACACATTCCGACTGCCGATATCATTTGTTTTGTACTGTTTGCTGACTAACCTTACTATACAACCTTCTGTAGGTTTTAGATGATCTACAAATTTATTGTGAAGTAAAAGGCATTTATATTGAGAAGACTAATCAGTAATGAAGCTGAAGATCTGATCCATTGTAACGTCAAATCAACATTTTGCATAACCACTGAACCAGCTGGGCTACCTACCACAACTGCAAAAGTCCATGGTCCGGTTCCCGAGGGAGGTTTTTCCGGAACGGTGCAGTAGGAACGAAATTGTCGCGTCGCGGTGAGAGGGACGGCGCGCGCAAAGGAATGTAGCAGCATGCAGCAGTCGGTAAGAAATTTAAGAACGAAAGTACTAATAGTAGAATTATACATGAAATAATGATCGCATATCGATTGAGCTGTATGAA